GTCGTCTCTCGCGATCCTGTTGCGTCACCGTTACGTTACCGTGCGGTGGAGGGGGAGGGGAGCGCTGACTCACCCGCCGCGTCACTGCTGGTGGGGGGGTTCTCCTTTGCGCAACATGTCACACTATATATAAATAATAAATGGAGCGTTGTCATAATTCTCTAGAGAATGATCGTGTGTGTAAGGCATGTTGAGGGTGCGTCATCACCACAGTCCTGCAGATCATGACCTCGTCATCACAGTGTTCCTATGTTCTGTCTTTAAGGTAGGATGAAAACAAAAACCGCCATGCAGAAAGGTCATTTTGAACCCACAGAACTTCTGCTTTGTAAGGTTGCCTACCCACAGAGATGTTTTAGGCAAGGAGTAATGCTGACTGTTGTGTTCTGTGTCGTAGGGTCGGCGGGCGCCAGGAAGAGAGGGCGCTGGCATTCGAGGGCACGGGGATTCTTCATGCGAGTGTTTGCTTCGCTCTGTCTGTGCAACTCGAACGGCGCAAAGGGATCGTAATGGCGCAGACCTTCACCATGGCGGCATGAAGAACAGTGATTTCATTTTGTTCGACTTTTATAGTGACTTCATCTTGCTCTCGCCATGCTGGGAACTGCATATGTTGAAGAGACGAGCTGTAACATTGTGCAAGGTCTGGACATATCTGACTTACAATTTTTAATTTATTTTTTACTTCATTGAGGTCTTTATGACAGTTTTTACTATATTCATTTTTAACAGATTATGTGAACAACAGAAAGATATTTAGAAGTGTATTATTTATGTTGATATTATACATTCTGCATATATCCAACAGCGAGTAGATTCTTTTCCACTCTTTGACTTACAGATGTAAATTTTTTAGGTATACTGATTAGTTCATGTTTGTTAAGTTTACATAATCAAGAATGAGCAATATTTTGAATATGAAATGTTACTATTTAGTTCCTTCCATTCATTGTACACCAGTAGCTACCATTAAGTATAGTCAGGAAGCCTGCACATTTATTGTATAAATACCCTTTTTAACTGTTTAGTTTTGCAATGTGCAGTGGCTTCCACAATTGTGGCTATAATGAATTAAAACATAGGCTATAATTTGGAAGGTCTTACCGGGGATCCACGGTACAGTGCAAGGCAAGCTCAAGGAATGTGTGTGAGCAAGAGATGTAGAGATTCGAATCTGTTATCCTTGAGTCGGTTTCTTGCCTGTAAATTTCCTCGTCCACTGGAAAGTAATGCTGGATTAGAATGTATTTTCTTAGAACCTGTTCCTATTTCAAATGGATTGCCATCCTACATAACACAGATAGCAATAACCACAATTCGAAGTGTGGGACAAATCAGAGAAATGTAGTCACAGTATGCTAAGTGTTCCTCAAAATAGACCCATCTGTATGCATATTGGTCTTAATCTCCTCCGGTGTTGAACCGTATAGGCTCTTTCCTCCGCTCACGTGGTCCTTTGCTTATTTTTTTTATTATGCTTCTTTACAATCTACATCATTACAGAGTATTAAGTAAATGTGTTGTAGGTGGTTGGCTTGCAAGGGAAACATCCAGTGATGTTTCTCCTACATGTAGTCTATTTCATTGATTGATGATGTCTTGGGGCCATGTTCTGTTCAGTCTTCTTGTCACTGGACCGTGGTGTATAGCTCTTCTATTAATTCGTTGTCATGGTTTACAGTTTGCTTTTTGTACCTTTCAGCCATTCTTAGTATTTCATTTTTGACGAAGGGTATCTTTAGGTCGTTGTGGAGTGTAAGGTTGCTCACATGCCATGACACGTTTGCAATTACCCTTAGTGTTTTTGATTGTAATCTCTGGATGAGATTGATTGTCGACGGCTTTGCACATCCCCAGAGTTGGAAGACCATAGAACCAAATAGGTTTCAATATAGCGTTGTATAACAGTATTTTGTTAGTCATAGAGAGCTTTGATTTTCTATTGAGAAGCCAATACATTTGACGATATTTCATGTCAAGTTGATTCCTTTTAGTATGGATGTGTTTTCTCCAAGTGAGCCTCTGATCGAGGTGGAGGCCGAGATACTTTGTTTCTGTGGCTGTAGGTATTTGCATGTTGTTCATTGTTACTTGTGGGCACATTTCGTGTCTCGTGGTGAATGTTATCTGGACAGACTTCGTTTTTCATTAAACGTTGTTCGCCAAGTGGTGTACCAGTCGCTGAGTAAATTGAGGTGATTTTGCAGGTTTTCAGACTGTTAGCGGGTTTTCACTAATAACAACGAGAGTCACGTTTTCAGACTGTTAGAGGATTTTCACTAATAGCAACGAGAGCCACGTCATCAGTGAAGATGCTATCTTGGTGTTTTCGGTTTCAGGTATATCAGCTGTTTAGATCGTAAATAGCAGTGGCCCCAGGACACTGCCTTGTGGGACTCCGGATTTAATGCGGTATAGATTGGATTGTTGGTCTGAGTGCTTGACGGAGAAGTTTCTGTTGGAGGGGTATGACTTTAGAAGGAGATAATAATTTTGAGACAGTGTGTTTTTTAATTTGAAGGTTAAGCCTTGGTGCCATGTTTTGTCAAAGGCTTGGGATATATCAGGAAATGCAGATTTACAAAATTTCTTTTCCTCGAGACTCCTGGAGATTTCATTTACAATTCTGTGAACTTGGTGGGTTGTAGAGTGCCGTTCACGAAATCCGAACTGATGATTGGCAAGTATCGTTAGTAGTTCATGATCTGCGTATATCCTTTGAAGCAAAATTCTTTCCAAAACTTTACTGGTGACATGTAGCTGACTAATGGGTCTATAAGACGATAGTTCTTGTGGGGGCTTTCCAGGTTTGTGTATCATTATTATTTCGGCGTATTTTCAAGTTCTAGCCAGCCACATGCCCGGCGCCGTCGGGTGCCCAGGAGTCCAGAGTACTGCCGCCCATATATCTCAACCATGCACTCGGCGTGGGCAGCACGCGCGTCTTCGACCCACACACGTCCAGTCCATCCATGGCTGGCGGACGAGATGTTATTGGTCTTCCTGGCTCCTGCCGCTGTCCGATAAAGGGCCCAGACGGGCAAGAGCACCGGAGCCGGGAGAGCTTTCACTTTTTGTGCGTCGCCGCGGCCTACGTGCTGACGAACTGACGACGCTCAGGGGGGGGTCTTAAGAAGATTTCCATTTCCATCCAACCTAGGACAGGGAGTAGATGGCGGGACTAGGATACCCTCCTGCTCGGAAAGAATAGTACGCTTACAAACCAAATAATCACCTCATTTTACAACGATACCAACCTAACCACCTGGCCTTGCTCAGGCCATACAGCTTACACATAGGTACCATAAGTCAACAGAGGCCACCGACAATACATACATATTTAACAAAATCATTACCCCAATGAAAAATGCCTCTTCAACTGCGAGACATGTGCTCGGCGAATAGTAACCCCAGTATCGGGGTTCTCCAATAATACACTTACAGGAGAAACAAACCTTGTTATTTTCAATGGT